ACAGCCAGTGCTCTTAACCTCTGAGCCATCTCTCCCGCCCCCCCCCCCCCCCCCTTTTTTTAATTCCCAAACTATCCAAGACCAGGTCATCATGCCAACGCTCAACAACTTGTCTCTACTGCTGGGAATTGTCTATTGGTAGCTGAAAGGCCCCCTGAACCCAAGCCTCATGCCCTCCTCTCCTGGCTCTGACTTCCCAGATTCAGGGACCATTAGAATGAGTCCATCCTCAGTGTGGGATGGGGCCCAGCTTTCTATGAGTGCACAGTCCCTTTTGTCACGTGGTTTCTTAGCTCTGAGGTTCTGGCTTACTGATGTGGCCTCAGGGAAACATCTGCCACCTGCAGAGCCTCAGTTTCCCCAACAGTACAGGAAGGAACAAGGCCGTGCATCTGGTTGTGACCCTCTGTAACAGTGGTTCTCAACCTGTGTGTTGTGACTTGGGGAAGGGGTTAAATGACTTTTCACCGGCGTTGCCTAAGATCATCGGGAAAACAGAGATAGTTACATTATGGTTCATAACAGCTGCAAAATTACAGTTACGAAGTAGCAACAAAAATAATTTTTATGGTTGGGGATCACTACAACCTGAGGAACTGCATTAAAGGGTCACAGCATTAGGAAGGTTGGGAACCACTGGCCTAGAACTATGTAGGGAAAGGAGCCTTTTTTTTTTTTTTTTTTTTTTGGAGGTTGGCAAAGCCTCTGTGTTAAAAGTCATTCTCCTGGGCTCTGGGATCTTAGCATATACAAGTTCTCAAGCAACTTGTGTCCTACGTCCTCTTAGCCATAGTCTTGTGGTTCTGGCCCTTGGGCCTCCTGGCAGGGTTGCGACTTAGGGAATGGGAATTCAGCTGTAGGATGTGTTTCTTTGGTGACCGTTAGAACAGGGCAGCCATTGCCGTGGGGCCCTCATGGAGCTTCGGAACTCAGCATTCTGGAGCCCTGAGCAGGAATCATGCCAGGTAGCCCTGGAAGTTAGCTCAACGCCACTCACACAGCAGACATCCCCGGCTCCAGCAGTCCCAGTCCAGTCTGGATTCTGTGGTGGCCGTTGATCTGGTGACCCCTCCTGGCCACTGTCAGAAAGCATCTTGCATGGTGGCCTTGCCAGTGTGGCTTTTGATGTCCCGTGTGCCACCCAGAGCACACAGTTGACCATCTGGAGTTTGGAGGGGAAAGTGAAGAGGAGATCTTTGGGAGTCTGGGGGAGGGATCCCACATACAACACATTTAGTCAATCTTTCACTCTCACAGGGAAAGATTCCTCACCAGACTCAAGTAGAGGGTTTTGTGTATTGTCATGAAGAGTTGCACTGGTTTGGGGCTGGAGCAATGGCTCAGAGGTTAAGAGCACTGGCTGCTCTTCCAGAGGGCCCAGGTTCGAGTCAGAGCTGTCTGTAACTCCAGTTCAAGGGGCTGTGACCCCCTCACACAGACAGATGTGCCAGCAAAACAGCAATGCACATAAAATAAAAAATATTAAAAAAAAAAAAAGAATTGCACTCGTCTGGGGGCTTAGAAAAGGGTTGCACAGAACCCATCAGAGGTAGGAGAATGCAGGAGTGTGTAGAGGGTGGCACAGGGGCATTGATGGCCTCAGACATGTGAGCTGACCTGTCCCACATCAGCCACAGCAGTGGGACAGAGGCAGGTGAGGTAGAAGCGCTTTCCTTCAGGGCCTTCACACTGTCTTCAGCTTCGCAGACTGGCTCCAGCTCTATCCCTGCCTGGACTTAGGAGGAAGCATGTAGGAGATACCCAAGAGGCTGACGCCGGAAGCCCTCTGGCCCACCCATAGGTTGCAATGGGACCCTAATGTGCTGTGTTTGTGCTGGGGGCAGATGAGTAGACCCCACTCCTTAGAGATGAGGAGGCAAGGCAGCTGTGGCTTTCCAGCCAGAAGGGTGAGCTCCATAGCTTTGTGTCACTGTCATGAAGTACTCTGGACAGCTAGTAAAGAGAATGGTTTTATTTAGCCCATGGTTCTGGACTTTCAGGTCCAAGATGGCTTTGGGCCTCCGAGAGAACATGGGGTAGATGACAGGACAATGTGCGCACCTTATGGCCCCGAGGCAGAAGCTAATGGAAGAGGAAAATAAAGAGTCCTACGGCCTCCTTATGTTATGTCCCCAAAGATCTAACGACCTCCCACTGAACCCCATCTTCTGCAGGTCCACAGCACCCCCCCTACCTTCAGCACCCTGAAGACAACAACACCCTGGGACCAAGCCGTTCACATGTAAACCTTTCAACAGAGGTCACCAGGATGGGCTAACTCCAGGTTTCCCTCTGTCCTACTCAGGCCTGGGGTGATGTTCCCCTCTCACACACACTTCCTGTTGTCCCCTCGCCCCATGGCTGTGCGGTGAAATCCCACAGGGCCACTCTCTTTAGTCAAGAATCCTTTGGTGGCCAGGCGGTGGTGGCGCATGCCTGTGATCCCAGCACTTGGAGGCAGAGGCAAGTGGATCTCTGTGAGTTTGAGGCCAGCCTGGTCTACAGAGTGAGTCCAGGAGAGCCAGGGCTATTACACAGAAAAGCCAAAACATAAAAATAAAATCGAAAGAAAGAAAATCCTTCTGTGGCCATTGGGGACACTAGCAAGAAGCAATAAGTGGCCCCATGTAACTGGCATCAGCATATCTGGGCTCCCTCAGTCATCCCTGCCAAAGCTCATTGAGTCAACTAAACATTCACCAAAGACAAGGTTTTTTTTTACCCCAAAGCCACACAAGCTTCTGTCCCTGAAGACTGAAGAACCTGCTTCCTTTGTCCACGTGATGGCTTCTCCCCGCCCTCTCCCAGACTGCCTGTGGGACCGAGCTAATACAGGAAAGTTATCTTTGACTTTTATGGCCCCTTTTCCCCCTATTAAAATGCTCGGGGCTATAAATGTCGTCATCAGCGGCTCATTTATCTTGGCAGAAGTGCCGCTCTAAGTGATCCAACCTCCAAAGCAACCGCTTCTGTGGTATCGATAAATTCAAGCGCGGAGGGGAGAGGTCAGCCCCTCGCAGACAAAATGCCTTCCCGCTTTTTTAATGAGCGCTTTATGAGGCTGTGGAAGGATGGAGGACGCCTACGTGAGCTTCCATGCTGCGTAGAGCGCACCCCCGTCCACGCAGCGTAGGCAGGGGACTGACCATCCGTGAGTGGCCACACGAACGTTCTGAGAGGACTCCCGCCATGCGTAGAAGCAACAAGACGAGCACCTGCTTAGCAAAGGGCTTGCTGCTGGCTTTTTCCAGAATCGTAGAGACTGTGGACTCGGACTGAGAGCGGTCAGGTCTCTGGTGCTCCAGGCGGTGGGTCACACAGTACGGTACAGAACCTATCCCCACAAGAGCCTGACTCTTGGGACGCCACACTTATTTAGTATCCTCTAGAGAACAGGCTGGAGCAGTCCAGTCCAGGCAATGGTCACAGAGCTGTGGGGTTGGGTGGAGCCGGCCAAGATCTTGATTAACGCATCCGGCAGGTTCTGGGTGCAGACCTCCCATGGCCTGCAGGACAGCCCACCCCCACCCCCAATACCCAGCCAGTTGTATCTCTTGGTAACTTAGACTCAAGCACAGAGTGGAGGCAGAGCTCTCCTGCCGTTGCCCCTCTGAAGGCTCTGGGTCTGACGAGGCTCGGCCATGACTCACTCTCCTGGCTTCCCATCCCTTTCCTTCCCTGAGTGTATATCGCTAAGGTGATAGTCAGGGGCTGCTCCTGTCACAAGTCAGAGAAGAGGGCCGATCCTGAAGAGAAATGTAGGCTTCCTGAATGGAGCACCGGCTTTGGTGCTTACAGGATAGAGACAGCCAAAGGAACACGCAGAGCGGAGGGACCTACCGGGACAGACTCAGAGAAGTAGCCCCAAAAATGCACCCCAAGACTCCCCACCCCCAGCACAGAAGCCAGAGCAGCTGGACACAGCAAGCATATAGGGGCTCACAGAGATACACACTGGAAGGGTGCTCTGTCCCTCAAGGGCAGAACCAGCCTCATTTTAGGCATCTTAGTCAGAAGAGAGGCCTCGGGAAAGTAGGCCCTTGTCCCACTCCCAAGCGTCCAGGGCCCTACCCTCCCACAGCCACTCATGGGAAGAGCCCTTCCAGGAAGACTGGAATGAGGTGTAGGTCTTGGGATGGCACAGCCTGCTAGAGTGTGGCAGCCTCCTCCAGGCAGGCCTCTGGTGCCCAGGAATCTCCTGGAAGGGTGTTAGTGGAACGGCCACCCTTGCCTGGCTCCCACCTCCATGGTTGGAGCAAGCCGCTCCAGGAGCTGGTAGCTGTGCTGGGAGAAGACAGTGTGCTGTGTAGTGACAGGAAGGCAGTCCTCAGAGCTGATGGGAGCGTGCGTGCGTGTTCATGTGTGTCAGCCTCTGCCCTTATTTTAGAGAGAGTGTCTCTCGCTGAGACCTGGAGCTTGCTGGTTTGATGAGGCTGGCTGGCCAGAGAAAGGGAAGGAAGCTGTCTTGTCTGCCTTCCCAGTCTGAGATTACAGGAGGATGCTGCCGCAGCCTGGGATGTTTTTTGTTTTGTTTTGTTTTCAGACAGGGTCTCTCTGTGTAGCTCTGACTGCCCTGGAACTCACTGTGTAGACTAGGCTGGCCTTGAACTCAGAGATCTTCCTGCTTCTGTCTTTCTGTGCTGGAATTAAAGGTATGCACCACTATGCCTGCCAATTGCAGCACTTGGGAAGTGGAGACAGAAAGCCCCAAAGCTCAAAGTCATCCTCAGCTAAGACAAGTTCAAGACCAGTCAGAGATACATCTGGCAGGCCTGTGCGTTTTGTCTCGCTATATAAAAACTTCACTTTAAGAGGGAAACCAGGATACGGTAAGGTTGACTGTGTTTCGGGCAGTATTTTTGTAAACAATGGTAGACTGCTAATTCTGTGAACAAAACAAAACAGTGTCATATGGAAAGCGAGAGCGGAATTTGCCTTTCTGAGGCCGTGGTCTCAGGCTGGTCCTAGACTCTGACTGTTCAGCCCTCTCTGTCTTTCAGGCTTTGGGAACCACCACAGCAGTGCCTGTCACGGGTCCTCAGGTCAGCTCCCTGCAGAGGTTGGCCGGGCAAGGAGCAGCTGTGCTACCTCAGGTAAGGATCTGTGTCCTGCAGCCCCTCGGCACTGCCTCTGGCTCCCTCCTTCAGGCAGCGCCTCCTCTCCTCTGTTCCTTCTGTCCGCTCATTAGGGGAAACCTTTGGTTCAGAGTTTTCACGGTGAGGAATCTGGTTTTTCAAACTGTGAGAAGTTGTGAAATCCTCGAGTGGGTCACAGAAGGTTTTGTAAGTCTGGCCAGCATCAACCAGAGTAGATACTGCCGGGCATACTGGCCCATCAAAGCTTGTCTGTGCTTGGCCACGCATGGTGTGTATTTTGATGATGGGTCAGTCAGGGTCTGAGGAACTCCACACTAGTGCCTTTTCTGGTTAGCGGTACAGGTGCAGGGTGCAGGCCCTGGGTGCCAGCCTAGATCCCAGATGGCCTCTGTGTCCTGGGCAAGTCACCCAGATCCTTTACCCTCTTGGATGGAAGGCTCCTCCATCTGAGGGGCAGATGGCACTCTGCTGTGTCATGGCCTTGGCGGTACAGGGAGAACTTTTACCTGCACCCAGTGTGTAGCAGACACCAAGGCCCCCGGGAATTGTTGCCTAACACCTTTATTAACAATGGCTCAGCTTTGGTGAACACTTGCTATGTGTACCATACCGGCATGGGGCCACTGGCTGCAGAGAGGAGGACAGCGCCTGTCTGTCTTGGAGCTATGGGGCTGAACAGTTGCCCCTAGCTCAAGGATAAAAGGAAGTAGCTGTCCTGGGCCCTTGTCCATGAGGTAGCGCACTGCCCCCACCCCCAAGTGTCCACCTGTCCCGAAGTCCAAAGGGCCTTGCCCCTAAAAGGGTCAGAGTCTCAAGGGGGTGTGAAGGGTTGATGGGAGCTCTGAGATGGCTGAGGTCCACAAAGGTCTCCTGGGGTGGGGCTATTGGTAGGCCAAAGTTGGGGGTGAGTCCCAGGAGGAAGATGCAGAGTAAGAAACCAAGGAAGGGGTTCTGGGAAGGCCAGAGTTTCCCCAAGAGGAAGGTAGAGCCAGCAGAGAGGTGCAGCAGCCGAGACAACACGGTTGGCCTTGTTTGTTGACAGTGGACAGCTTTATAAGGCCTTTCAGCAAGGGAGGGCCTCTGCCAAGGCCGGTGCTGTTTTCTCTAGAGCTGTTGCTTCCCAGGCAGCCTTCCCCCTTATTCTCTACCTCCCAGCAGTCCATGCTGCTCCCGTTTCCTCCAAAGCACAGGCAACCGACAGGACAGGCAACTGGTCCCACATGTTCACTCCTCACTCCCTCTCCTCTGCCCACCCACCTCCTCTTCTTGCTTGCAGCTCCTGGGCTCCTTACCTCTCATTCCCAAATCTTCTGACCCTGGCCCCTGCCCTGGTTGTGTTGGCCCTCGGGTGGTCATTTTGGCTGAGGGTGCCAAGCACACACCTGGGCTCATCCTGCTGGCCTAGGAAGCTTGTAGATGGGGAGGCAGATCCTGAGAAATGAAAGCAACAGGCTCTGGCTGTTTTGTGGGGATCTGCTGGCCAGGGACTCTGTGTGGCTCCAGGAAACATCAGAGGTGCTGAGGTTCTCAAATATTTTCTTGAGGTGGACGGCCAGTGTTTGAGCCTGGCTAAGCCGTCCTCAGTGTCCAGCACGTGTCCAGCAAGGCTATTCACCATGTTTGGTCTGAGTTAGGGAATGTCATGTGGCGAGTGTTTCAGCGCAAGTGACCAGGATGGAGCCAGTGTGTCATCATTGCCCGGCATTCCTAAGATGTCACCTGTCCTCCTCAAAGGCAGGGAACAGCTCCTCTCCAGCACTAGCCGTCTGCAGCTGAGGGGTGGCTGGGATAGGACTCGTCCCTCATCAGTGTGTGTGGTACTGTGTCTGGAGTCCGGGGACTGGCCCTGACACTGGACAAGAGCAAGGCAGCAGGCTCACCTCAGCCAGGATGGACACACAGCTATGGCACGGCCCCCAAGGTGGGGAGGGCTGGTTTGGTTTTTCTCAGGGCCCACTGGAGCCAGAGGTAGGAAGGCCATCTGAATCGAGGGTCGGCTTGTATTAGGCAGTGAAGGATCTCATTGACGCAGTGCGGGCTGACCCCAGCACACTGAGTCCTGGTAACTTTCCCAAGAGTCAGGGCCCAGCAGGATCACCCGGTGTCACTAGAGTACTCTAGGGAGCATGCAAGGGCCGACACACAGCGTCAGCAGCCCTGGCTCAGGTCCCTCTGCCCTAATGACAATGATGCCTATCATACCACCATTCTCCTCAGGTAAACCTCTTCTGGCTTTGCCTCAGTTTCCCTCTGCTGAATGGTCAGGACACCCGCCCCATGGCTTCCATGGGATTCAAGTCATGTACCTTCCTAAGTCTTATTTTCCTCGGCTCGCCAGAGCCATCTGGGCATAGAGTGGCTTCACTTGGGATGAGATCAGGAGTCTGCAGCTGTGGTGGCTGAAATGATGAAAATGCAGGTGACAGGAGGCTGGTGATAACCAGCTCTGCATCTTGTCACCTTCTGACTATCACAAGTGGGTTCCATCACTCCTAGTGCCCAGATAAAGACATTAAGACCACCCACGTTGTCTAGGATCTGGGATTGGCCACATAAACTGATTGGCACCGTGGTCTCTACTTCGTGGTGACACCCATGTCTCACCTCCGTGTGAGCAGGCTCTTTAGAGCACTCAGTGCCCAAGGCCCTAGGACCATCAATATGTTTGTCAGGGACCCCTGTGCTTCACCTAGTCCTGACCAAGGCCAGTGCTCCCAGCTTTGTGTATGGGCGTGGGACGATGAAGATGCGTTTCACTTGGGCTGTTCTTTTGGCCCCCATCTCCTCTGCCCTGTTCCTTACAGTTTGCTCTCGTTTGAGGCAGAAGGAACTGTGGCCTGGAGCAGCTTCATCTGAGCCTGAGGGTAGACGGCTGGGTGGGTAGCAGTCAATAAGTCAGTGCACATCCAGTCGAGGGAGATGGTGGTTGGAGTAGTCTGAGCCGTGGGGTCAAGGTCATGCCTGGTGGGAGAGCCAGAGTAGGGTGGAGGGGGTTGTCCCTTCTTTATTGTAGGACTGAGCCTGTCTGCTTGAGGCTTGCTCCACTGCCACGACTTCAATCACCAGGTCGTTGTCTATCTGTCTGACCACACGCTGATCCCTTCCTCCCAGGTTAGGCCAAAGACTCTGATTCCAGACAGCCTCCCTGTAACCCCGGGCAGGGACCGGCCACCCAAGCAGCCCCCAACATTCCAAAAGGCCACTGTGGTCAGCATCAAGAACCCCAGCCCAGCCCTCCCCACTGCCAACAACACCGTCAACCATGTGCCAACACCCAGCAGCCAGACCCAGGCCCTCACCGAGCCCACCGCCATCACCTCACCCCTGAGCAGTGCCGGGGTGGCCTATGCCATCATCTCCACCTCCCCCAGCAATGCTGCCACCATCACCCCCAGCACCACCGTGCCCGTGGCCAGTGACGGCATCAAAGTGCAGCCCCTCCTCATCAGTGCTGACAAAAAGGTGAGTGTCCATCCAAAGAAAGGCCTGAGAGGATGATTTTTTTTTTTTTTTACATGTGGAGACTCAGAGGCAATTGTCCAGCAGAGACTGAGGCTTAGGCAGAAGGGTAGCTGGGTGGTGGGATAGTCACATGGCCAAAGAACGAAGGGGAAAGACTGAGGTGAGTGTGTGGAGGAAGTGAGTGGGAGCCAGCAGTCAACAGGATGAGTTAGTGTGAATGAGTGAGCAGGTGTGAGCAGATGAGGGTGTGAGTGGAGCATGGGCACGAGGTCAAGGGGGCAGGTCTGCAGGAATGAAGAGAGGTGAATGAATAGCATGAGCGAGTGGTGTTAGGAGTAAGTGACCGACCGAGTGAATATGTGAATGAATAAAGAAGGGGACAGGAGAATGGGTGTGGGACAGAACAGCTGTGCCCGAGAGAATTGCTGTTCATTAAATAAAGGAATAATGAACTGATAACTTGTGACCGAATGGGTGGCTGTGAGACAGTCTAATACTAGTGTTCCATCTTTGCTGGTAGAGTCAGGTGGTCAAGAGCTCTTTTATGCCCTGGTTGGATTGGGAAGAAAACAAAAAAACAAAAGCAAAAAAAACTCCTTGATTTCTTGTGAGGAATTTCGTTTTAATGCTTAAACTAAAATCATCTTTCCATGCCCTCTAGAGTTCTCTGAGGATTGCCCTGTTGGAGGCCTTTGGGGCCTGTTTTCCCTTTAAGAAACTTTCCCTTGGTTCCCTCTGCCAGACTGCTCCACTCTCTTGCCTGTAGCTGATGTCTTTCCATTTCCCCAGGCAACCCCAAATCATCTTAGTCCCTCTGTCTCCCAACCTGATCTTCTCAGGCAGGGGAGGTGGCCGAGTGCCCCCACGCTCAGCTCGCCTGAATTTGAGCTGAGAGTAAAGAGTTAGCACCCCCTGGAGGCTGGCATTGCCAAGTTTTTTGTCTGCTTGTTCCCTGCGGCTCAGAGAGGTACAGAGTGACGAACCTCTGTGAGGTCACACGGCCAGGGAGTGGTAAGATAGGATTTGCACCCAAGCCTGCTTGATTTGCAACCCTGGCCATCTCTCACACAAACTCTGTCATAGGAATGGGGGGTTGTGTGGGAGGGATGTCATTTATTGGGAAGCAAGGACCTTGACACAGAGCAGCCCATCTGGTTCCTCTGTGGTACACATTTCAGGACCTACCTGGCTCTCCTAGCTGCTCCCTGCCCCTTCCTCTCTGAAGCCCTGCCCCTCTCATCCTCCCTATGTCTTTCAGGTCATCATCATTCAGCCTCAAGTGCAGACACAGCCCGAGAGTTCAGGAGAGTCCCAGCCATCCACGGAGGAGCCATCTCAGGGAGCTCAGGCCACCACGGAAGATCAGCCCGCCAGCCAGGAAAATCCTGAGGTAGTGTGGCCTGCTGGAGGGGCCAGCCCCTTCTTGGCTCTGAGACAAGGCTCATTCGGGGTGGGGTCGGCCTCCCTGAGATCTTGACTGGACTCGGCACTGCAAAGTGGGGGCTTCCAGAGCAGGGGAGCTGAGTCTGCACCCTTCGTTCTCCAGGCTGTGCAGGCAGGGCAGACTCAGCATGGACTAGTGCCTTGCTGCCTGGCTGAGAGTCAGAAATGTGTCCTGTGTAGTGATTCAGCTATGGTCAGGAGTGGGAAGGCCTTGTTTTTTTCTGGGCTTTTGGAGGATTCTGAGTTGAGGACAAACCGGTGAATCAGGGGCATTGTCCACCTTCTAGGGATCCCTGCCTGTCATCCTTGTCCCCTCCAGGACTAAGCCCAGAAAGAGATGTTCCCCCCATCTTGGGCAGCATATAGCCCCTGCTGCTCCTTCCTGTCTGTGTTCAATCCTGAAAGCCTGAGGGGGTACAGAGCAGGACCAGGAGCCCTTTAGGGCTCCGATGCCCTGAGAACTTCCTAGAAGTTGCATACGACACCTCCTCCCACTCCCTAGAGGAAGAGAGAGACATGGAGCCATTCTAACAATGGAGTTGCAGTCATGGGGCAGGTCAGCAGCTGATGAAGGCCAGTCTCCAAGGACCTGGCTTCGTCTGCATGCTGGGGCTCTACTCTCAGCTCCGCCACGCCCAGAACATCCCTGCTCTGCCATGGTCTTTTCTATATGGCTCTTCACCGTCAATTTCATTGGTGAACCCTCGTTTGTCCTACAAGAATCCAGTCAGCAGGGTCCCTACCAGGTGCCCTGCTCCAGCTGATGCCGCATGAGTGAAGTCTTCCCTAAGCCCCCAGGCTCCCAAACTCATGGTGACTGTGACAACCTACGGGCCCAAAGATATTGCTTGCTTTCTGTGCCCACCCTCTTTCAGCATTCACACTTGTGTCTGCTCCCAGCTCACGCTCTGTGCTGTGAACAGGAGACTCGCTCAGGAAGGGCCCCTAGGAAGCTCCGTTCTGAGGACAGACACTAACCGGGCTACAAAGGCTGCCAAGCAGGGGTTAAGAAACTTCCAGCAAGCTGTGAGCTACAGGAGAAAGAACAGAGCGGGGTTACTTGGGGGGATGTGTGGGTGGGTGGGGGGTCTGTGTTGGAGTGTGTATATATGCGTCTGTGGGGGGAGGGGCCTTGTGCATGTGTGTCTGTGTGGAGCTTTGCATAAGAGAGGTATGATGGACAGAGACCAAAGAAATCCAGAGTCTAGAGGTGGAGGGTATCGTGGCGAGTAGCACGAAGCAGGAAAGGGCTGGGCACTTCCCGAGAGGTCATCCGGGCTGTGGACAGCAGGTAACGTAGGAGTAGAGGGTTAGCCCTGAACAGAGAGATGGCGGAACCTGATCCCTGAAGACTTAAAAGCAGGTGGTCAGGGTCGGGGTTTAAACCTTAGAGAACGGGAGCCATAGAGTATCTGGGCTCGAGAGGAGTGCTTTGATTAGTGCCTGCGCACATGCGCAGTGGGCCTTCCGGGTCTTCAGAGGTAGCAGAGTTGGTAGAGGGCTTGCCTAGAGCGCACAAAGCCCTGGGGTTGCTAAAAATCCGACTAGGCGTGGTGGTGCCCACCTCTAACCCTCGCACAGGCAGGAGGACTCATTTAAGGTCATCCTTGGCTACATAGTGAGTTGGAGTCCAGCCTGGGCTACATAAGATCCTGCCCACCCCCCCCCTCCGAATAAATAAAATAAACAAGGAGTCACCGCCCCTGGGTCGCCTGGAACATGAAGCTGCCGTGTGGGACACACCTCTGTGACCCCAGCACCGTGATCCCATCGGTCCCAGCCGGAAGCAGTGTCTGAACCCCACATATTTACATGCTAAGGCCTGTCAGGCTTGCTGCCTGCAGCGCCCTCTCGCACCTGTCTATCCTGCCTTGAGGTGCTCGGCATTCTCCACCCTCAGGAAGTTTCTCCGGGTGACATGGCCTTGTTCTCTCAGAGTGCATCTTAGCCAATTATCGCGCATTTTTACAATTAGTGTAATTATATCTAGCTGTGTAATTAGTGTAAATACCCATAATGGCTTAAACAGAGCAGTCAAAACATATCCTGGTGTAGAAACCCTTGTTGAAGTTTGAGAGTTGGGCAGCATAGGCCTGCCGCAAGAGGAGCCTGCTGCGAGAGGCTGTGTGCCAACCCCAGGACACTGAGCAGTAGCTCCCAGGCGCCTCTTTGGACCAAGTGGGACCCCAGCCATCTCAGGACATGGGTCCTGGTTTTCTTATGGTATTCCAGCGGAGCTACGCTCTACCTCTGAGCTGTTTTATGCCCTATCCTCCTTTAGCTTCCTCTTTGTAGACTGGTTCTCACCAAATTGCCAAGGCTGGACTTGAACTCTTTCTGTAGCCCAGGCAGGCCTTTGGCTTGCTTTACTCCTGTCCCGGCTGCCCTCGTAGCATGTGCTAGGCACGGACATCAGTTTTTGTAAAGGAACATGAACAGCTGGTGATGAGGCCTGCAGATATGGCCAGCCTGCCAGAAGAGCGCTGGAACAGCCCAGGGACCACCAGCAACTCAGAACTGCGACTGGACACTTCAGGAGGAGCAGTTGTGAGGGGTGTGGGCACAGAATGGTGGGTACACAGCCTGTGCCCACTGTAGGAGGTGCCCTAGATAGTTGCTGGGTCCTCACAGCAAGCAGCCTTCGGGCGAGAACTGCAGCGAGCCTGCTGCCCATGCACAGGTCAGAAGAAGTCTCCACTAGAGCCAGGCAGGCCCTGGCTACCCAGCCCTGCCGCTGGGAACTGGAGAGGTCACCTCCACTGTGGGCAGCTGAGCTGGAGCGGGGTGGATTGCAGCCAAATTTCTACTGCAGAGACCAGCCACTGGGCCAGACACTCTTGCCTCTGACTTCCTCACTCATGGATCCCGAACTTTCTGCAAACTTCTTACAGGTGTAAGAAGCCCCCATTACTTGACTTCCATGAGGGTGTAAGCCTGGTTCATCTCCTTCCTCAAATTCCTTACACTTCCAAGGCTTTCCAGAAGGCCAGGAGAGCTGGGTGGGGCCTATGTTACTGGCCTCGTTCCATTTCTTACTATGGCTGCTAGGGAGCTCCCAACTCAGTCTGACACCCAACACAGCAGCTGTCTCCCCAAATCCTCAGGTTCATGTCCATGGTCCCAGCTAGCCCTAGAGTCAAAAATACTAAAAGAGGGACTTGGGGGAAAGTTCTAGGAAGTTCAATAGGCAGTGAAATGCTTGGGTTTGCTGCATGCCAATCACAGCACAGACTCCTGTCATTGAGGTGTGGGCGTGTCCTGTGATGCTGACATTTCCTCAGTCTCCCTTGAACACTTCCTGTGCCTCCTCCTTGGCTGTATAGTCAGTCAGGCCGTGACGGTTACATCCGGACTGAATTTACGCAGACATTTCTTCTGTCATTATTCCCTAGACAACACAGTAATACAGTGAATTATATGCAGTTTCTGTCACATCAGGCATTACAGGCCAGATAGAGGTGGTTTAAAGTATTCAAGAGGGTGTGCATAGGACTTACGTAGACTTTTTTATAAGGGACTCAGCACGGATCCTGGCTTCCGCTAGGGCCAGGATAGCCCCGTTTTGTGGGACTCCATCTTCCTTGTTGCTGTCCCTCCTCCCTCCCTTCCTTCCTGTTTATTCCGGTGTCGGTGTGCTGAGCATGCACACTGCAGAGCCCATGTCAAGGTCAGAATGCCCTCGTGGTGCCCTTCTGTCTGTGTGCTCTTCTGAGGCTAGAGCCTCCTGAAGGCTGGGCTCACCCTACTCATTCCTCAAGTTCACCTGCATGTCAGCTGGTCCCGCCAGCCCCGTGCTATTGGTTTTTAGAGTGTATTTGAGGAATGTGTTTGTCCAGCCCATCGCAGGCCCCTAGCTAATCCCAGGAGTCTCCTACATTGACCTCTGGCCCTCAGAATACCCCACGTTTCCCAGGAATAGTATCAAGTGTCTGGAGCGATGGCTTCACAATTGGGCACCCGGGGGTGTGGCCCCTCGGCTCACAGAAGAGTTCTTGACTGATGCGGAAGAGGGTCGACAGCTAGGTTAACTTAGCCTTTCTATCCCTTTTCTTCTCAGAAAATCGCCTTCATGGTAGCTCTAGGCCTGGTCACAACGGAACACCTGGAAGGTAATGATGGGGACAATGGGTGGAGTTTGGTGGGTGGAGCTTGGTGGGTCTCGAGACAGAAGCAACAGTCTTCAGGGCACTCCAGGTCACGGTTGTGCCCTACCAGATATGAGTTGCCTAGGAACCCATCCCTGGGTAATGGGGGCACAGTCATTCTAGACAAGCCAGAGAAATGCTCTGTTTTCTGTATCCCATGACTGAACTTGCCTCATGTCAGTCCCTCCATTGTTGTCGTCCCCCCACTGTCCCTACCCTGGAGACATACAGTGAAGCAGCAGAGGTCCTTGTCCAAGGTTGCCACTAATGCATGAGGGCTAGTGTTTCCTTGTTTCTCTGGTATTTGGCCCACTCTAGGCCTCCTGTTCCCTCATTTCTGACATGAGGGAAACTATATCCTTATGCCTGTTGGGTTGTTGAGGGGAGTGAGGGAATTGCGTTTTCCCTAATATGCAACTGGTCCTCAAAACCTCTCTTCGTGATCTGGATCCCATAGTATGTATTAGTGTACACAGGCTGGAGGCTGATGAGCACCACACAGCTGTGCCTGGCTGAGAAAACCAGGGCCTCACTCTGCTGCTGCCATCCAGGGGTTCCCAAGAGACAGAGATGGGCCCTATCTTAGTCACTCTTCTACTGCTTTGAAGAGACACCATGACCAACTTTTATAAAAGAAAGCATTTAACTGGGAGCTTGGTCACAGTTTCAGAAGCTTACTTCATTACCATGATGGCTGCAAGCAGCCATGGTTCTGGAGAAGTAGCTGAGAGGTCCATCCTGATTCACAAGCAGAGAGAGAAGGAGCCTGGGCCTGGCGTGGGCTTTTGAAATCTCGAATCCACCCCAAGTGATATACTTTCTTCAACAAGGCCACACCTCCTAATCCTTCTAATCCTTTCAAACAGTTACACTCCCTGGTGACTAAGCATTCAAATATATGAGCCTATGGGGGCCATTCTTATTCAAACCACAAGAGGGCCTTAGGTTGAGGAGTGAGTCCCTGTCCCCCAAACCCCTTTGTGACACCCATCCTAAAGCCACCAGAGCCACGCGATAAGCAGGGCGAGGAGCCTGTGACTGCTGTATCTGCCTTTCCAGAAATCCAGAGCAAGCGGCAGGAGAGGAAGAGGAGGAGCACAGCTAACCCTGCCTACAGCGGCTTCTTGGAGACCGAGGTGGGACTCTTGGGCACCACCACTTGGGCTGGGAGGAACAGTGCAGAGCCTCATGAGCCCCTTCCCCTTCTATGATGAAACTTTGACGAGTCCAGAAGAGTTCTTGGAACCTCCTCCAGCTCTCTCTTACTGCCTTCTTGCCCATCCGTCCTAGCCAGAAGCATTTCACTGAAACAAGGTGTGTACCCTGAGTGTGTACACACCTGTAACTCAACAGTCAGGTGTACTCTCACTGAGTGTATCACCTGCAACACAGCAGGCAGGTGTACTCTCACTGAGCATGCGCACCTGTAACTCAACAGTCAGGGAGCTGAGACAGGAGGATTTTGAGCTCCAGGCCAGCCTGGGTTACATGGTAAGATCCTATCCCAAAACAAAAGCTGTCCGTTGGAAGTTCCATCAGAGGCCACTCTGAGTATCAACCACACCTGCGGGGTACAGGTAGAGCAGGGTTCCTCATGAGATTGCTGTGAAGACTCAGGGATCCAGGCTGCCCTCCGACGCTTCACACGGCAGAGCCCTCTGTCGCTTCTCGTTCACTTGGGAGGGCCCCGTGGTGTCTCTCTGCTCTGACAGACCATGATGTCTCAGGCGTGCGTTCTCTCAACCCCTGCGGGAAGCTGGTAGGCAGGAGGCAGGGACCCAGTCCTGGGTCCTCTGGAAGAACGGCTACTGCTCCTAACTGCTGAGCTGTTTCCCTGGGCCCCATTTCCCTTCTCTAATGTGGGTCCCAAATCCATGTTTCATGAACTTGCATTTAGCTGGGAAGGGAGCCCTTGCAGGGAGCATGTTCAGGTCCAGTTCTGCAGGGTCCCTTCCAGGGGAGGTGGCTTCCCCAGCCCCCCTCCACTGTCTGTCCCTTGCTCTGCTTCACCTCGCCCTCCCTGATCCCGTTCTTAGAGGGTGCTCACGCTTGCATATCCCATTCTCTCCTCCTGGGTCTAGTGAGCAAGGCTCCACGTGTGAGGACCTTTCCACATGAACATTCAATGGCTGAAGGGTGTAGCTCAGTTGGTGGAGTGTTTGCTTGGTATCCATGAGGTCCTGAGTTCAAGCCCCAGCCTTGCGTAAACCAGGCATGGTAGCATACACCTGTAATCTCAACACTTGAGAGGTGGAGGGGTCGGGAGTTCAAGGTCATCCTTGGTTACATAAACGGTTCAAGGTTAGCCCGTGCTACGTGAAACTCTGGCTTAAAAATAAATAAATAGATGGGCTGGAGAGATGGCTCAGAGGTTAAGAGCACTGTCTGTACTTCCAGAGGACCTGAGTTCAATTCCCAGCAAACATCCATAATGAGATCTGGTGCTCTCATCTGGCATACAGGTGTACTTGCAGACAAAACATTGTATACATGATAAATAAATCTTATAAATAAAGGAAGGAAGGGAGAAGGGAAGAACTTGGAGTTCTCTCTAGCCTCCAACCAAGCTTCAGCCCTGTGATTATTATATTAAGAAACTGTCCCCAGTGCTCTGGGCATAAAAACTACTCAGCTCTATGTGTGCAGCCAGATTTAAGGACCCCCTGTAGCCACTCAAACCCTTCGACCCTTGAGACTTAGGTAAGCGTAGGAGCCAAGAGTAGCCCTCTGCAGATTCCTTCCTTGCCCTAGGATGCAGCGTTGGCTACCTTGAGTGAGAAGGCTTCAAGCACTAATTCTTTCTGCTATAGCCAGAACCACTTGGGACCACCAGGCCTTGGGGGTGGGGTGGCCGGTGAGGTCACTAAAACTAAGGCTTCTGCCACTCTCCTGGACCTTAGGGAAGCCTCTGTAACTGCCAGGCTTGGCCACATGCCAGGAGGTCCTGGTACCCTTGGTATTTTTCCTTTTTCCCCGTGTCAGAAGCACAGAATGTCTGGCCCCCAGTCTCCAGAGCTGGGGCTGGGCCCTGGGCAGGACGTTGTGAAATAAGGGTGCACCAGAGCAATTCTTTGGTTCTGCTTTCTGTCCCTACAGAGGAAGCGGCTGGCCTCCAGTTATCTCCACAACCCCCTGTTCCTCACAGCACGAGGTAAGTGCCAGCTAGAGCCGCGGCTTGCACACAACCACACCCCTCCCTAAGCCTAGCCTATCCGCTGTTTTCTGCCGTTTCACATAGCCTTTGATCTCAGAGTTCCTGGGGAAGGAGGAGGGCTGCTGGGACAGGTTATTCCATGATACAGAAACTGCAGTGGGGGCTCCCTGCCCACCAGACTTATGCACATTTCTACCGTCCACCAGTGTCCAGATCTGAGTACCAGGCTGAAGGCCATTGTGGTAGGACCGTTCACCAAAGGGCTGAGCTGGCAGGCCATGAGACATGTGTGGAGGAGGCCCCCTACTTCCTACCCCTCCATCTGCAGCCAGAGCATGCCCCATGCTGTGTGCCCAGCCATGCTGCCTGCTACTGGACAGCTCTGGAGAGAGCAGGCACTCACTTGCCATGCCAACCCTGCCCCTCCCTCCTGGGCTGCCTCTGGGCAATTGGACGACTTCAGCTAGTGTTAGGAGTACTGGGTACCCGGCCCAGCTCTGACAGGCAGGGACATACAGCCCAGCTTTCGGCAGGGCCCTTTCTCCTCTGTCAACCGTTCCTTATGGCTGGGTGTCCCTGTCATCACAGTATTCACGAAGCTGAGGCAGAAAGATTGCTGTCAGTTTCAGGCCAGCCTAAACTACAGGAAGACTTTTGTGTCAGAAGGAAAAAACAAAAAAACAAATCTCCCAATGGTTTTGGAGGCAGGAAATGGCTATCTACTCCTCGGAATTGTGTAGCTCTTGGTGTCAGCCGGTCGCTAGCCCTTGGACCGCTGATCTGTACCATGGGCCTGCGATACCTGCTCAGAGTCAGTAGATAGTTTGTCCCAGGAACAGGCTCACTGCGGATGGATTGTCTAGGAACCTGGAAGGAGAGCCCTGTTTGTGGTTCTTACCATGTATGGTTTGAGATCACGGCCTAAAATGCAAAGGGGTCCACAGCCAAAAGGAGCTGGAAACAGGTGACTCTCAGGGCTCATCTGATTTCTGGTTTTGTTTCTGGAGTACCTCACAGGGCCATCCGTGGTCCTTGTGACCTCAGATGCATTGAGCCTGTTCCTAGGTAAGGCCTGTCCAGGATCAAGGCAGAGAGAGTCTTCCCTTCACAGTGGTTCTGAGTGTCACTGAGTCTCTTGATACTCCCATCATGCTCTTGGGCAAGGACTGTGCCACACTAAGCCTGGGGGATCCCAGCCATGACCCATGCTCCTCCCACCCCCACTAACATCTTCTCCACCTTCCTCCCTATGCTAGCCAATGAGGACCCCTGCTGGAAGGTACGTGACCCCCATCTTCACACGACATTGCTTTAGCCTTCCCTTGGTACGCAGAGCTTGCACAGCACCAAGGCTGCTTTCCTGGTGCCCTCACGCCAGGCTGAGTCCGACATCACTGCAGAGAACAGCAGCACCCCCACCGCCCGGTCCTGAGGGTGCTCACACTGCACCACCTGACCTTCGCCCTGGCTCTGCCTGGCCTCTCTGTGTGACCCTGGACAGAGCTGGCCTGCTTTGGCTGTCTGTTGTTGACCCTGTGGGCTCATTCCCAGGATCTCACCCCACATGCTCATTGCAATCACATCACACCACCTGCCCTCAAAGCCCACGTCCCTATTCCCTGAAGCATTAGCTGCACCTGGATCCCGTGCAGAGCTTCTCACTGGCCTATTTCTTTTCCCTTATTTTATTTACGTTGTGAGTGCTTGAGTGTGTGTGTGTGTGTGTGTGTGTGTGTGTGTGTGTGTGTGTCTGTGTGCATGTGTGTGTGCATGTGTCTCTGAGTGTCTGCGTGTAGGCTTGTGCATCATTGTGCAAGTGTAGAGGTCAGAGGACAACTTGGAGGAGGAACTTGGGCCTCCTTTCGCCATGAGAGTCATAGGGATGGAACCCAGCCTCAGCCTCAGGTGCTTAGAACTATGTCAACAGCCCTTCCCCAGCTTCTAGCCTAATTCCAAATGAACCTTGTCCCCCATGCTCACGTGGCCTGCTCTGGGTGGCCACATTGCTTTCCACGGTCACCCTGCAGCAGTTAACACAGGTGCCGCTAGCCATGGCAACTTGCCACACAAGCCCCAGCAGAGGACACACACAAGGTGGTGGAAGATTCCCTCTTTTTCCATAAACCCATAGTCCTGGACGGACCTTGCCCTTGAGGCAGGAGGTATGGATTGTGGCATGGATTATGGTTCTGGCTCCCTGTGTGACCCTTAGCAAGTGCCTTACACTTCTTGAGTCTTTGCAGTGTCGGGGGGATATAGATGAGAGGCTCAGAGGCCTCCTTTAGGGACAGCTCTGGTGTCAAGTCTCATGATAAGGGCCATCCCTTCCCACCACTTCAGCAGTGGAGTCTGCTAGTCTTGCAGACACAAGGGCCCTTGTGGGTGGCTGGGCAGGTGTTGTCGGCCATCCACAGAGCTCTCCTTGGTTGGTGTAGCCTGATGATGGACTGGGGAGCAATGTCCCTCGAGCTGAGGCCTCTGGGAGGGACAGAGGGCCCTGTACCTTGCTGCATTGCTGGGCACCTGGCAGGAGTGGGGTGCGCTTTGTGTGTTCTGTCCTGCTCTATCTGGTGTGCAAGGGACGGCTGTTCTTATTCCCGTCACAGATGTGGAAGCTGGTGTGTGGCTCGCTCACCTGAATGGCAGCGGTCCCTGCTAGATGGGTGTGCAGTTGACGGGACTAATGGTGTAACTTGCATCAGGCCACAGCACCTCCCTGAGGCAGTATGTACACAAGGATTAGTGAGCACTGCTGGGCCTTGCTCCATGAGAGGAGACCCATTGCTGGGGCCTGCTCTAATGACTCTCCCGTGCTCAGTGCCCCAGTCAGGGTGTGTAGGGGTGCTGTGGAACCCTACCCATCGGGGCATACACCTCCCGCTGGAGTCTTGCTCTCTCAGGGTGCCTGGGCCTGGCTCAGTTGCCTCCCACCTTCCCTTCTCTTGCAGAGCGAAATCACTCATGATGAATTCTGCGCTGCCTGCAAGAGAGGAGCCAGCCTGCAGCCCTGTGGAACCTGTTCTGGGGCCTACCACCTCAGCTGCCTGGACCCGCCCCTCAAGACGGCACCCAAGGGCTTGTGGCTCTGCCCCAAGTGCCAGCGGAAGGTGTGAGCAGAAGGGCTCGCACCCCACCCCTGCACACCAGAGACCGTTTTCTGGGTGATCCCCAGCATGGGTGGAGCAACGACTGGGCAAGAGAGTGATGGGGGTTCTTGAGCACCCATTCCTTGGCCTCTACAAGGGAGTGAAGCCTAGATGGAAACTTCTCATTAGCAGCCCCCAATAGACCAGGCTGATACGGCTGCTGTCCACTGGTCACAGTTGGGATTCTGTGTCTCAGAGAGCATGCCTACCTGGGGTACATAGACGGATGTGGTCTCAGAGTTTTAGGACCTGTATTCTTTCTCATCATCCCATCCGCCCCACAGGCCTTAAAGAAAGACGAGGGTGTGCCCTGGACTGGGATGCTGGCCATCGTGCACTCTTACGTCACCCACAAAACAGGTACGGTGTCCCCGGGAGTGGGAAAGAACCCATGGGTTCATATGGGACTTTGGGGGTGCTGGGTGGGTCTGGGTTCTTCTGGGTCAGAGCTCTGAGAAACCGGCGGCCGGGACTGGTCCGTAGCAGTCCACTGTTCACCTGCCCCTTGCTGGGTCTGGCCTCTCTCTCCCAGTGAAAGAAGAGGAGAAACAGAAGCTGCTGCAGCGTGGCAGCGAGCTGCAGACCGAGCACCAGCAGCTGGAGGAGCGGGACCGGCAGCTGGCCTCAGCTGTGAAGGTGAGCATTGGGTGGGGGGCGGGGGTGCCTCATCATCTCCTCACCAAACCTAGGGCGATTGCAGTCTGACCAACATCGCTCAGTGTGCCCATAGGTTCAGGGTGCAACTCTCTGGTCCATGAATAGTTATGAAGCTGTTGGGGACATTCTGAACCTGCTTCTTCTCACTGTGTGACCTTGGCAAGGCCCTGCCTTTCTGAACCTCAGCTTCCTCCTCTATAAAGAGAACATGGTCCTCTGTAGATTGGTGATAGACAAAATGATGAGGATGGTGATGGTAATGGTGATGATGGTGTTGGGATGGTGGTGATGGTGGGTAATGGTGATGATAGTTGTGGTGATGATGATGATCATGATGATGGTGATGGTGGGGATGATGAGATGGTGGTGGTGATGCTAAACGGTGGACGGTGCTGACAGTAGTGGTGATGGTAATCCTAATAGCAGTTCTGGGCTCGGGAGAAACTCAATTTTTTTGTTTGTTTGTTTTATTTTACTCCATTTATTTTTATGGTGCTGGGGATTGAGTCTAGGGTCTCGGGCATGTTAGGCAAAGACTTTGTATCTCAGGCATGGAGGGCGGGAGGGAGAGAGCCAGGCTAGAGGTGTGAATGCATGTACAGATACCATACTTGTGTGCACACATGTTGAGGCCAGAGAAGGCTGTCTTCCTCAGTTGCTCTTCATTTCTCCCTCCACATAGGGTTAATCACTAAACTTGATGCCTGCCATTTTGGCTTGGCTGCTGAGCTTTTGAATTCCCAGGATCCACCTGTTGCTCGAAACATTGGGGTTACAGCCACACATATGTGGGTGCTGGGGATTCCAGCTCAGGTGGTCACATTGCACAGCAGACTCCTAACCCACGGAGCCATCTTCCCAGTTCCTCCTGTGTTGCAGTGTTTTACTTAGTAATTTAGGACGGGTCTCACTAAGTTACCCAGGCAGGCCTTGAACCCACTGTCTTTCTGCCTCAGCCTCCCAGGGATCGGGGATCTCAGGCTTGGAGAAGCTCTCTAAGTGCAATGCCTTCTCTAGCTGTTGGGATTGTCTGCAGCGGTGGCTCTCACCCTTCCTAACGCTGCAACCCTTTAACACAGTTCCTCAAGTTGTGGTGACCTCCAGCCATGCAGTTATTTTCCTTGCTACTTCACACTGTGAAAGGATCTTTGGACCCGAAAGCGGTCACAACCAACAAGTTGAGAACCAGTGCTCTAGAGACCCAGAATTGGTAGAATGAATCTATGAAAATACATAAAGGGAATTTATGGCTCCCATGTCCTCTATATAGGCTGCAGGCAGAAGGTCCAGCCCAGCTCTTCCCACCTCAAATTATTTACTTAAAAGAAAAATTCCTCAGGTATGCCCAGCCATTTGGGTTTTAGTTTAGATGCAGTCAAGTTGACAACCAAGAAAAGCCGTCACTCCTTGTCAGCTTGACATACAATCATGTCTCCTTATGTTACACTTAATTTCCAAATGAAAACAATAATCCAATCATAATTATACCTGATATGATATAACTATCCCACATACAACTGTCATAATTTATGCCTAACATGATATAACTATACAGCCACAAACACATTATAACTTTAGAAAAGGTGGCAGTATTCTTTGAGAGACATTCTTTTAGTATCTCAATTTACACATGATAACCACTGATATTTGCCTAATTGATGCTAGCTTACATGGAAACATAATTTACATTACCAGGAAAGAAATTGCAAATATCTGTACAAATGCATTCTTATTGTTGGTTTTGTGTGTGTGTGTGTGTGTGTGTGTGTGTGTGTGTGTGTGTGTGTGT